AACCCGATTCCACCTATGCCGACGCAAGTGCAAGCACAGCCACAGCCACCGCCGCCGCCACAGCCTCAACCACAGCGACAGTATCAACAGCAATCGACCTCGACATTCCCCAATAACTTTGGAGCGCATCAATTTATGTGTTACGGATGCGGACAGGCAGGACACAGGATGGCAGCCTGCCCAGATCTCAAGCCCTACCACGATCAGCACTACATCAAGACGGTCAACGGACGAGTTGTTCAAGCTAACGGCGACCCGATACCTAGGACTCCAGGCGAACCTATGATCAAAACCATCGAGCGGATGTTCCCAAGGTCCAATATCACCGTGGTTCCAGAAGAACTCGACCAGATCTGGCTGAACGATGAGCAAGAACAAGACGACGACGACGATGAAGTCACTGTCTATATGGCACGTGATGGATTGCGGAGCGGTACCAGACCCAAGGACGCCTCAAAAGCAAATCGGATCCCAGCGCACGACACCTCCTTCCCCAAAATGACCACCAAAGGATGGATAGGCAAGCAGCGAAATCCTCCCAAGCCCGCGGACACCCAGCCTCAACACACACCAGTCGACGTCTTTGACAAGGCATTCAACTCGGACGACTCGGACGTTGTTATGGAAGATCCTCAACTCGCGCCTGTCACTATACTCAAGCGACCCTCACCTACCACTCAGGAGAAGGACCGCGAAGCTCAGAAGACTGGCAAACTGACTTCTTTAAATTCTGAACAGGTCGATCACGACGCCATCTACAATCGGTTCCTCAACGCCAAGGTCGAGCTCACTCAACAGGAACTCTGCGCCATCTCTCCAGAGATCTCTAGGCGAGTCGTCATGGATAACAAGCCCACCAGGTCTCAACTCAAGGAAAACAAGGAGCCAGAACCTACCGGACCCACCGTGGCAAGAATCGTTGGCGACAATACACCAGCACCGAAGCTTCCATCGCGCATCACAGAAGTTCGCCAGAGTCTCATCAAGATCAACGCTGAAATTAATGGCAACACTATACCTGCGGTCATCGACACCGGCTCTATGATCAACATCGTGCACAAGACCATCTGGGAACAATACATCAAACGACCTCTCGACAGATCTGTTACCTTCCCGGTAAAGGATGTCAACGGCGGAACAGGACGACTAATTGGCCTAGTGGGAGAAGTACCCATCGACTGTGGAAGAGCAAGAACGATCGCCCAATTATGGGTGTCGGATTCTATTGACTTCCCTCTTTTGCTAGGGCGACCCTGGACATCCTCAAATTCGGTCGATATTATCGAACGGGACGGCACTTACCTCATATTCAATTACCCGGAACACAACGTGCAACTCGAACTCAAGGTCGGCGCGGACTCAGACGATAATACTAACATTTCACAGACAATGGGCCTCACTACGGACAACGGACTTAGCGAAATCCGCGAACGCACCGGGCCGGAACGTCACCGGTGGCGTGAGAAGCCGCGGCAAGACGCGCCTCACGTGCTCGCCACGCGACTACCCATTATGGAGGAGAGCGACATGCGATCTTATCTTTCAGCAACACCGCCACCCCGACGCCCGACTCTCGACGCCGACAACTTAATCGACGATATCGCCGCCGCCGCCGACTCGCAACTCGCCCGCGCCCAGTCAAGAGGCGGCTCTTCGGACCTCAACGACGACGACTACCGACGGATTCAGGCGGACGTTGACGCTGCCGTCCGGCAGTGTCAAGGTACGCCCCGTGCCAGTTCGGATTCCCCGAACTTGGCCACCGTTACTAACTACTTCGAATTTCTTTTAGATCTTGATGATCGCTATCAAGCGCGACTATTCACCCGTCCCTTGCGCGGCGGGCAATGGACGCCCCTCACCGACACGCTCGCGCATCTCCCGGCGGGAATGCGCCGACTTCTAGGTACGTACGGTACCTTCGAAGTCACGCTGACCACACTCGACAATAGGCAAACCCGGATATTGCTCACCCTCGCGCACCCTCGAACGGCACCCGAACGCACGCCGCCCCTCAAATCGAACTCGGCACATCAAGAACTCTTGATGTACGAAGACCGGCCCGTTCCGGACACCCTTCAAGATTCCGAATCCGGACGCTACGACCCACGTAAAGATAGGCGTGGAGGCCACGACTCAGCCCTCCACACGGAGCCCCTTCATCGGGCGCTCTCTCCACTCACCACCCACCACCTCCACCCGGAAGAGCAAGGCGCGGACAAGCTTGGTGAGTACAATAACACGAGGCTCCCAGACGACTCACCAACGCTTCCAAGACATTATGGACGACCCCGACGACATGGAAGAACTCGACAGCGGCCTCTAATCCTAGACGGCCGGTCTCCCAGCAGCCCCGCGTCCACTCGTACGGTCAGCACCGAAAACCGCTCCCGAAACG